TTAAATAAAGCGTCAAGCAATTTTTGCTGTCCTTGTTTTTAGAATCAGAACTCTACCTTCCAAAATATTACTATCAACTGGCTGCTGGACCTGGAATAGGTCAGAATAGCTAAAAATTAAAAGGTATTTGTACCCGTAAAGATCCAGGAGGACGATTTTCAAAGGCAGCTTTTAGAGGGCAAACGTTATAAAGTATGAAGACTCAGGGCTCTGAAGACTTAGTCAAGAAACCAGCCCAATCTCCCTTCCCTCAATACTCCAAAAAGGAAACATCTTAAGTTTACCTGAATGGGGGCTTTGGTTTCTGTATGATTTCCATTTTGATTGGGTAAGCACCAATGACCCAGCAGGAAACATGGAACATTAATAACTGGGTAACTTGAGAGTTCAGTAGGCAGACTATTGTAAAAGTGTAGAACATAAGAAGTAAGTTACAGTGTTGGTAGGCACTACCTTCCCTAGGACTGAAGTTACAAAAGGGAGGAACCATTATCAGAATGAGGTGAGGTTGCTATATGAAATGAAATATGGCTTTTTGGAAGGATTTGGCGCCAACCATAGTGACTTGGCAATGCAGAAGTTCAAGGAACAAACAGTCAGCCTTTCTCCTCCTGCCCACTGATTTTCTGCAGATACTTCCCATTTGTTAAACCCAGCTGCACCAAAAAGGGCAAGGGACTCTACTGGTGCCATCCATACAGATGCTCTCCTCCAGGCACGGAGTGGGTAGATGGGGAATCAGGAAGGGCAGATGGAAGTGCTCTGATTTTTATTTTAGTCTCAAGTAAGCACCTCTTTCTCTCCCTACTTTTTACTGTGGATGAAGACATGTACTCCCGGTAAGCTGTATTTTCCTTTTATGCAAAATTAGTTTAATAGAACTCTTTTAGGAAGCAATTCTAAAAAGCATGCTTGGTCTTCTTAATATGTTAAAACATCTCAAGGAGCTCAAAATACCTGAAAAAGTTAATGCTCCTCTCTTCACCATTTACTGGTGGAAAGTAATTAGTTGCTGTGATCATTTCATTCTGCAAATATTATTGAGCACTGAGCATATATAAGGTACCATCTAAGAACAATGGTGTATCTTAAGGTATATCTAATATGGATCCCATCACAAGCATCTATCTCTACAGTCCCTGCATCCTTAATGTTTTCTTCTATTGTCCATACTCAGTCACAAGAATGGGTGTGTGACCCAAACCTGCCAATCACCTTTTTCCTTTTTCCAGGCTTGTGTGATAGCTTTAGGAAAGATAAATTATCCAAGATAGACTAATACGAGTCTTTTTTGGGACTTTACTACCATATTTATCCTTCAAAAGGAATTGTTCCATGAACAGGATATAGATAGTGGCAAGACTCTGAGAAGGGGGGATGAAGCCAAATTGACCTAAGAGAAGGAAATTGAACCTTTGGACCCAGCCATGCCTGGATCCCATTAGACTGCAGTGTTTTGAGATGATAGATTATCTTATCTTAAGCTGTGACTATCTTTGACAACCTGATGAGTCTTGACTAATCCATTCTCCTCAAGAAATTTATATGTAGTGAGGAAGATATGTGTGTAGTAAGGAAGATATGTGTGTAAGTTAAACACAAAATACAAAGTGAGAAATGGCATTTTTTTAAAAAAAGATAAAGTGTTCAAGGAGGCTCGATTTACTGACAGACTTGATTATCTAAACTACCAAAACAATTAGGATGCCATTTGAACTGGGTCCTAAGTCATAGAGAAAATGTGAAGTGTTGCTCTTGGGGCACAGAGGTAGCAGTATTTGTGTACTGCTATTTACAAAGAAAGAGGTGAATGATACGGTGGAAACATGTTACAAGGTGTTGCTATTGAGGACACAAACTTTTTTTAAACGTATAATTTTGGAACATACAGTAAATTACTTAACAGTGCTTAACTTTTTATAGTAAGACTATGAACCATTTGTCTTCTCTGTGGTTTTCTACTTTTCATACTGCGTTTTGCCAATATGGAGAAAATATAGTTTTTTAAACAATTGTGAGAAAATGCCAAAATCTGTTAAAAATGGGAGAAGGATCACAATTATTGTCATTTTGCAAATATTCATCCTAAAGTCCATTTTGTTTTGAAATGTTTGAAGACTAAAGACACATTTATTGGTCAACAACAGTTCCTAAAAGCATGCCGACAAATTCCAGCATAGAATTAGCTCTGGCCATCTTAGCTCAGTTTTCAAACCACTTACTGTTTTTACAGGTTGCCTAAGATCAGTGTGTCAGAGAACTTGTTTTAACACTTCTTTGTCACTCTAGGAAACTAGATTTTATCAAAGAGTCAAAAATTCAGTATAACTATATGAACCAAACAAAACTGGAAAAATCCAAGCAGATTCTTTGGCTGGCAGAGGGGAGAGGAAGGAGATGCCTCAAAAATTGGTAATTGTTTGATGATTTCCTTTACTACAAGAGGGAGAAACTGATTTTGTGTGAAAATGGATAGTGCAAATATGCACATTGGCCTCTAAAAGAACTAGTGAAGTAAAATCAAAACACTTTACGGGCCTCCCCGGTGGCGCAGCTGTTGAGCGCTGGGTTGCGAACCTGCCCGCAGCCTCTGTGGCGCCGGTTCGATCCCCGGCTGCTCCCCGGAGGAGGGTCCCACATGGCGCGCAGACCTCTCCTGCTGCCCGCTGCTCCCCTCAGCAGTGTACTCCGGTCCTTCCGCCTGCTCTGCTCCCCGCTCTGGCTCTGGTGAATTCTCTCACCCTCCCGTGCTTCTGGCTGTACCCAGTGCATGTGTAAACAAAACAAACAAACAAATAAACAAATAAACATGCCTCTATAAAAATAAAAAAAAAAAACACTTTACAAAAATAATTAAGGTATTGTAAAGACTACAGCCAGTTTAGACTCTGGAGATGCTAACAATTTCCTCTGTTCTGTCACCTCTGAAAAATACAGAAATCTATCTCTTAGATGCTTTCATTTTTTAAAATTAATTTTTTCTTTAGACTCTTTTATAGACCGGTTGGATAATAAATTTTTGACATCCTTCCTCTCCTATCAGCTTTAATCTTTTCAACAGATTTTCCTCCTCTAGTTCTATATGATATTCATTAGTTTTTAGTAAAGCTAGGAGATATGGGAAAGAAGGAATTGGAGTCCTTAGATTTTAAAATTTGAAACTATCTTTGTAGCATCACAAATTTTTTTTCTCAGATTTAGCTGTATATTTATTGCTTGTTTCAGATATCATTTTGCTATTACTGCCTTGTAATTCTAAAATGAGTTATAATTTGCATCGAGTCCTTTTTACAAAATTTCTAAACATGCACTAGTAAATTAGTTAGGTACATATGTACCTACTCTTTAGTGAATAGAATTTGTTTATTCTGAATTTTGAAGTAGGCTGATCAGGGAATTAATTTTCTTAGCTGTTAAGAAAAATCTATGATAATTTTAAGAACTATGCTACTATAGAAATAGAAATCAATGGAAAATTTCCATTGTGTCCAGAAACAAACCTGGGTTATATTTAGGAGTGTAATAGCACTTTAAATCATCAGGGAAATGATAAACTTTTCAATAACTAGTTTGGGGATAACTGACTATCTACTTGGAAAAGATATCCTTACCTCACACCATCCATAAAAAACAAATTCCAGGTAAATAAATACTTGAATAAAACCTATGTTTTCACTGTAAATGTTGTAGAAGACAATATAGTAAAACCACTTTATAATCTCATGATAGAGAAGTTCATCAAAAATTTACCAAGACATACAGAAAGAAACCATAAAAGAAAACTATTAAAACCCAATCACACAATTGGGTTCACCTCAATTTCTATTACCTTGTAAACTGAAAGATACCATAAAGTATGTAGTCTGAATTAATATATTGGAAGAAAATATTTTGCACACTTTGCTCAATGACTATTATTCATTGAACATAAATAGTTCTTATAAATCCATAAGGATTAAATAAATAATTCAACTAAAAATGGTCCCAGAAGAGAAAAAAGTGAATGTTGAACTCATAAAAATGGTTACTTACATGAATAAAGAAATGTTAAGTAACATAATGAAATACGACTACAACTGTCTAGAAGCTTAATAGCAGAGTGTTTGCAAAGATGTAGACATACACAACCTAATTTCTTATTTCTCACAGTTCTGTGGGGGCAGCAAAGGTGTTTCTTCTGACTTATGTAATCTTGACTGCAATAGTCACGTTCCCCTGCAGTGGTGACTGGTCAAGGCTAGACTTACTGAAAGTCTTCTCTAATGTCTGGTGCTTTAGTGCCCCCACATGACCTCTTTCCCTTCCCCTGGCTAGCTTGAGCCTCCACCCAGCATGGTGGACTTACAGTAATCAGACTTCTTTTATGGCAAATAGTTTTCAAGAGTCAGCATTTCAAGAGGACAAGCCCCATTGTGAAAGTGTTTATCAAGCTTCTGCTGTCCCATTACTTAAATCAAGTCACGTGGCCAGGCTCATGTCCATGGGGGACAGACCTGCACAGGGCATGGATACCAGAGGAGGTGGTCCTTCCCTTAGGGACCATCAAGTAACAGCCTTCTGAACTTACAATAGAAAATAGCACAGCCATTTATAAAAAGGAAGGAGTCATTTTTATATTCCTTATAGACAGAAAACTGTCCAAGATGTATTTCTAATGGAAAAAGCAAGTTACAAAACAGAACTTTTAGTCCAATCACATTTTTCAATTAAAAAACTACGTGTATATATCATATATGGGATATGCATGTGCATTTATGTATGCATGTATATGTATGTGTATATACACACACACACCAAAAGATAAGGAGAGAGAGAGATCTAAAAGGATAAACTCCAATATACCCAATCTGCTAAGAATGGTAAATACTGGAAATTAGGGTTAGAATGGAAAAGGCTTTATTTAAATTGTTGTGATGTTTGGTTTTGACTATAATTTTTGTGTTCTGTGTATTTAAATTTAATGCAACTAGCCCATGTTACTTCTGTGGTTTTTTTAAAAGGAAAAGTATTTGGAACTATGCTTTAGTTCATTGTACAGACCCATAAACAGTTGCAACGAACAACATGCTGGTTGTGTTCTACCAAAACAGTGTGCTGAGGAGGGGCGGCAGGTAAGCAAATACACTCAGACATGAATTATGGCAGACAATTTATTGTAATGACTTTCTAAACAGTTTTAAAGTGTGAAGGATTACTTTTATCATTTCTCCCACTTTGGAATGTGACTTTTCCCAGCAAAATTCAAGTGTGATTTTGGTAGTAATTAGAATTCCATTTGTTTTACACACCAAAACCTCCCCAGTGGAGTTTATTTTCTCTTTTTTTTGTTGACTGGTGGTAGTCAGAATGGAGTAACAGCAATGATGTAACAATGGTGATAATCTAGTACATGATATATATCAAGCCCTGTTTTAAGCATGTTGCATCCACAACAATCCTGTACATTATCTACTACTGTAATCTCAAATTTGCAGTTGAGGAAACTGGCACATAAACTTGTACAAGTGGCATAGACGATGGTTGCTGAGATTTGACTTCATGCAATCCTGGTTCAGGGCTCCTATTAGACCACTTCTCCATGGGAATGATGATAGGTGACCTCTGCATATACAATCATCCTTCAAGAATTAGAAGCCCCATTCTTAATACAGATAAGAATGACAACTGAAAGTGTTCATTATTTGACACCCACTTCCCATTATCATTGCGGTCCAGCTAGCTGAGGTGAAACATACATATAAGCCCATGATCTTGATTTTGGTATTGAATGAATTCAGAGGTAGTCAGGATTTCTAGCTTGCTTCTAGAACCCCATGTCAGTCTGTGTGTGCCATAAGAATTCTCTGTGCCAGGAAGAATCTGATCTACCAATATTCTAATGCTGAAATTAGAGAGCTCAAACAACAGCTGATTGCACACCATGAGATCCACTAAAATCTGACAGCAGGTGTATTCACCAATTTTGACCATAATGACAGCAATAAGGAGACTTTCTGTTAAAGGGACAAGAGAGCAGATATCTGGCACCAGGCACTGGGAAAAAGCAAGACAATTTTAAACAAGTACCACATGTGGTGACTCATTAGATGTTGAGAGCTAATAAGAGGCTGAAGATTTTTAGCTTAGCACTGATGCTGTGGACAGCAGGGTATCCTAACATCTAGAAATTGAGAATGAATCAGGAGGTGGTGATAAATCCTGTGCTGATGCCTGGTGTGTGGAACTGTTGTATTTTTAGGATAGAAGTAAAGATATAAAAATCCGAGAGCGTGCCAGAGTGGAGCAAATATATTGAAAGATCTGCACATTTGTGTATTCATTCATTCATTCTTTCATTCAGCAAGTATGAGGTGATGGGTAGCAACCTAGATTTCAGAATACAAAAGTCAACAAGAAAAACATAGCCCCTTCCTGATGGAGCTGGTAACTGAACAGAAAAGAAACAACTAACCAGATAAAGATTATAAAATATGATAAGGACTGTGATGCTACAAAGTATAGACTACCAGGAGGGCCAGGATCCAGAGAACTGAGGAAATGCCAGCAGAGGTCCAGGGCAAAGAGAAGGACATGAGCTTGAGCTGCCTTATTAATACTAAGGTATATAAAACACTACCTGGTGCATAGTATTTCAAAATTATAAAAAGAAATTAAAGATTTTTAAGTAACATTTCAATCCTACCTAATAAAGTGATTTTCAAATTATTCTCGACATTGCTTTTTGCAGTTCACTCTGAACCTCTATTGAAAAACAGCACATTCTTTCCCCAGAGTAATGCACACGTTGATAGGCACATGAAATTTTGGAAATGTTTATTGATGAGAGCTCTGAGACAATTTTTGCAGAGCTTTTGAAGGGCTTGTTTTACAATAGAAACTGAACTGACAATTAGAACTGTGATTCCATCGAACCCCTCTGAGCATCCCAACTTTCTTGACAATGTGACTTAAATCTTTTTCCCTCTGTTGCTCATTCCCCCCTCTACCTCCGCTTTATCTGTCCTCACTAAGCAGATGGATAGGTGGCAAGTGACACAAAAGGAAAACATCATACGGTTTCATAACAAAGAAGAAAGCGATCGAAGGTCTACAGCAATGCTTCTCCTGTAGTGAATTTTGTCCTGAAAAATCTGGACATATCTGACTTCCTGAAATATACATTTGCATGATTTCTTTTACTCTGACAACTACAATAAGGGGACTGAGTCTTGTCTATATACTACTGGTACTAGGAGACCAGGACCACAAACACTCATGCACATCTACAGGGACAAACTTTATCAGAAATCTTAGATAATATTTATACTACCTCTCAAAAAAAAAAACCTCATTGTAAACATATCACCAACCCCTGTATTAATTTTCTAGAGCTTCCATAACCCAGTCCCATAAACTGAGTGACTTAAACAGAAACTTACTGTCTCGCAGTTCTGGAAGCCAGAAGTGCACGATCAAGTATCAGCAGTGTCAGTTCCTTCTAAAGGATACCCTATCTCAGTATGACCTCATTGTACCTTAACAAATCACATCTGCAATGGCTCTCTGTCCCAATAAGGTTACATTCTGATACATATGAATTTGGGGGAGACCATTAAGCCCATTACAACACTGAAATGAGGCATCTTTATTTTACATTTATTTATAACTCCCAAAAAAGACTCACTTTGGACTTTTTTTAGTTTAAAAATGAGGGAAAGGGGAACTTCCTCAACTTGGTAAAGAATCTCTATGTTCTGTGCACCAGTGGAATTTGAAATTAAAAACGCAATGTCTTTGACATCAGGACAGCAAAAAGTGAAATACTTAGATAGAAATCTAGCAAAACCTGTATAAGATCTCTGAAAGGAAAATTATAAAACTCTGATAAACATCAAAGGAGAACTAAATAAAGGGAGAGATACTTGATGTTTATAGATAGGTAGACTCAGCATTGTCAAGATGTAAGTTCTTGCTTATTTACTCTATTCAGTACAGTTCCAGCTAACATCCTAGCATTTATATTTGTAGACATCAACAAATTGATTCTAAAGTTTATATGCAGAAGCAAAAGACCTGTATTATCCAACATGATATTGAAGAACAAGGATGTCATACATTTCGTACAAATCTATAGAATGTATAATACCAACAGTAAACAACAATATAAACAATGGATTTGGGTGATTATGAACTGTCAGTTAGGTCATCAGCTGTCTCAAACATTCCACTCTGCTGGGAGATTTTGATAATCGGGGGAGTCTATTAATTTTGGGCATTAAGGCTGTACGGATAATCTCTGTGCCTTCCCCTACTCTTTGTTGAGAACCTTAAGCTGATCTGAGAAGATAAAGTCTTAATTTAAAATGAGACTTTTTTTTTTAAGATATACTATTTTTTTAATTTTTTTAATAATAAATTTTATTTTTATATTCCCCATACAATTGCACAATTGCAACCCCCTTATTTCAACCCCAATCCCTCCCCTCCCTCCTCTTCCACCCTCTACCCCCCATAGAGTGTCTCTGGTTCCTAGTTTTTAGTTGATTTTGATTTTCGCTTTCTTATAGTTATTCATTTTCCTGGTCCCTTATTTAATTAAGTTTTCTAGAGTCCTGCTATGAGTGAGACCATCCGGTATTTTTCTTTTTCTTTCTGGCTTATTTCGCTGAGCATGATCCCTTCCAGCGCCATCCATGTTGCTGCAAATTGCATGTGTTTATCTTTTTCGAATGCTGAGTAATATTCCATGGTGTATAGGTACCACATCTTCTTGATCCAGTCATCTATTTTTGGGCATTTGGGTTGTTTCCAAAGCTTAGCTATTGTAAATAGTGCTGCTATAAACATAAGGGTGCAGGTGTTCTTTGGGATTGATGTTTCTGTGTCCTTTGGGTAAATACCTAGGAGTGGAATTGCTGGATCATATGGAAGCTCTATGTTTAGTAGGTCCAGAAATCTCCACACAGCTTTCCATAGTGGTTGGACCAGTTTGCACTCCCACCAACAGTGCAGAAGAGTTCCTTTTTCTCCACACCCTCGCCAACATTTGTTGTTGCTAGTTTTTTTAATATGTGCCATGCTCACTGGTGTAAGATGGTATCTCATGGTAGTTTTGATTTGCATTTCCCTGGTTACAAGTGATGTTGAACATTTTTTCATATGCCTGTTGGCCATTTGCATTTCCTCTTCAGAGAAGTTTCTTTTTAGCTCTTCTGCCCATTTTTTGACTGGATTATTTTCTTTGTTGTTGTTGAGTCTCATCAGCTCTTTGCAGATTTTTGTGATCAGTCCTTTATCATTAGTGTTGTGTGCAAAAATGTTCTCCCAGTTGGTGGGGTTTCTCTTTGTTTTGGTTATTGTCTCTTAAAATGAGACTTCTTTTAAAAGATCTTGAGTTACTTAAGCCATTCCAGTTTAAAAAAGGCATTGCCTTTGAAGATACTATGCCTTGTTAAAAAAAATACAGCATTTTTTTAAAAAAAGGAATTAAAAATGGAGAAGAATGTGATGCAGACCTCCCCACAGGTCCACTGTTACCACCACTTGTTTTCAAAGTTGACATTTGAGTCTCCAGGGTATCCAAGAACACGAGTTCATTCCATAAATCTCTGCTGCTCAGTTGGAACAACTGTTCCTGTTTATAAGGCACATGGTAAACTGCAGGTTACATTTATTTTAAATTAGTCTGGGGACTGGCATTGATACTCTAAAAATCTGAAGATGAAATTACAGATTTAAATTGTTCACATTAGTAGCAAAGCCTGCTGTTTACCATGGCAGAGGCTCTCAGGGCGCTTCCAGTTTCCTGTGGACTTGTCCTGCCAAAAGCACCTGTGACTCTTTGCCAAAGAACTTCCTATCGACCTGCTGCAAGGGGTTATGGTCACTAAGATAACCCCATTTGAGACTCCTGCTTCTTCACAACTTGTTTGTGGTAGCTGAGGAAAGTCTACACTGACTCCTGGGATTCCTCAGCTGGATTAATCTCCATTTGTGCATTATTGTAACTTGATTTATAATGTACCTACCTTCCTTCTCTTGTTTTTCTACTTTTCTACTTCCCCACTGTTCCCTGTTTTCAGTTCCATAGCATTACCTAAAAAGCACTATTTCTAACTATCTGAGACTTCAA